GCCAGCAGTTCTATTCTCACCAGGCTCAAGGTTGATTCAGCCTTCCATCCTTCCGAGGTTGGTAAAATGAGGACCCAGATTGTTGGGGACAATATACTGACTCTACAAACCACTTAGAGAGAGCTGTAAAGCACTATGAAGGGGTATTTAAGTCTAAGTACTAGTGCTGGTGCTATTGCTATTTTGGCCTCTTTTTTTGGGTGGTAATTGTTGCTGAAAAGTACCATGCTGGAAATCAGCTATTCTGCCATTGAATTCCAGCAGCATTCTTTTTAGGTAATCAGGAGGTTGCAGGATATAGTTTACCCATGGGAGCCCTAATTGATTTGCTTCTAGTCGCCCCCCGAAATCTATTCAGCAGCCCCAATCTAACCTACATACAAACCAGCTATAACCTGGCAATATTCACCAATGTCCTTCCCTGTCTCTGTTGCAGAGGTGGGGAAATTTGAGGGCTGTGAGTTGCCCTTAAGCAAAGGAGTAATGCCTAGGCTCCCAGTAAATGCCCAGGCTCTCATTCCAAGGTAGGGGATGGTTTTGTTGTATTGCTGGGCTGTTTTTCGTTATTCCTGGTGTGTTAAATTAAATGAAGCCTTATGTACCCGTTTTTAATTATTTTGCTCCTCCAAATGAGAATTTTTTTTCAGGGAATTTGCAGCCTAAATTCAGGAATGCCACTTATTGAAGCCATAAGAGCCATAAAAGAAGGAATTTATGGCCACATATGGACCCCGATCGATAGGTTACCCCCACCTCTCCTCTCCATCAAGTCCATTTTCTGTAATTCTAAATTCATATTTTCTTCCTTGGGCCTCATACCTAAACTTGTTGCTTTCTTCACCTTTGGTAGGTCCATGATGTGCCCATCTCAGAGGGTGACCTGGAACGTGAATGTAGAATCCAACTGGGAAAACTGTGCCAAACTCAGCCGAAATTCCAGTACAACCCAAAGCAGCGCCTTTCGGGTGCAAAGGCCATTTTTGACGTTCAGCAACTGGAGGATGCGCAGTACAATAAGACAGGAAAAGAAATTCACACACATACTTTCCACATCCCCAAAATCAAGGTGGACCCACCCCCATCGTCCCCAAAGGAGCAGAAGAGGGCCTCGGAGGTGCAAGGTCAGAAAAAAGAGCAGAAAAGGAAGAAGCCGGACACACGGGGAAAGACTTTCCACGCCTTTGAGCATCCCAAGGGTAGAAGGGAGAGAAAGCTAGAACCAGAAGCCACAAGGACCAAGTCGTCTTTTTACTTGGAGGCATGAGTCCAAAGCATGCACACACTGATCTGGTGGCTATGCTGGTAGGAATCCCACCCCTCCACGATTCTCACTCGGGGCAGAGAAGCAATGGAACTCTGGGGGAGCAATCGTGCAGCATTTTCTCACTGCCCTGCTCCGGTTAACGGATGAATTCAGAAGCTTCGACATAGCTTGAGTTGAAGGCAATCCTAAATTTCTAGGAAAAAAATAAATAAAATAGGGGGGTTTTCCTAATTTTAGAAGCTTCCTCTTTCTGAAGCCTTCATCTATAACCCTGTTTGAATAAGAGGGTTATAGATGAAGAGGGATAGAATAAGAGATAGGCAATCCCATCCTACATATGTTTTGGGATGTAGATAGAGCTATGAGTTATAGGTGTTTGTGTGTGTGTGTGTGTGTGTGAGAGAGAGAGAGAGTGTGTGTGTGAGAGTGTGTGTGTGAGAGAGTGTGTGTGTGTGTGTGTGTGTGTGTAGACATACGATTTAGCTAAGCTTGGTGAATTTCAAAGGGCAGAGCAAGTGGTTATCACTAAGTACCCTTCTTCCCATCACTCAGCTCCCACCCCCAGTAATTTTGGGGTAGTGTCAGAAGGAGAACCCCTGATAATTTGGAAATATGGTAGCTCTCATTTAACAGCTGCCTCAGACAGAAACTTTCTGCAGTTACAATGGTGATAAAAAAAATAATTTTGTGAGAACCTTTGCAGGTCTGTAAAGCCAACAAAAGCTGAAGTAAAATTGCAAAATTGTGATGTTTTACTTAGAGACTGCTTTGCTTAACGACCAATTTGCTCCTCCCAATTCTGGTCACTTGACAAGGACTACTTGTAAGCTACACATTTTCATCTATTTTTGCTGTGAATGTTGTAACCTGAAGTCCAGGCAATGAGAAAAAAAAAAGAACTCTTAAGAACGAGGATGAATGAAACCTAATTTGAAATACAGTGTATTTGCAATTGCTCTAGGCTTTGAGGTATTTGGCACCTTGATTCTAAGGGGGCAAAATTTATTGCACATGTATAATAAAACAGATTCACAGAATCTAATTTAGTAAAATTACAAAAATGTGAGTTTCCTATATTCATAAAAAAACAGAAAGTTGTTCTGACTCAGTGTGGCAAAGGAATTGCGGGTGGACTGTATAATTATTTGGTTCCAGGAAAATACTGTTTTAAATTGAACAAACTGAAGAAAATAGAGAAAGGGTGAATCAATTAGTGGTTAAAATAACTAATCATAATAATTACAAATTTAAAAACCCTTAATAACAAAGGTCCACATGATCAGTTTAAATAATTATAAGGAGTTAACTGTTGAGTTTATCATTAAATCTGATAAGTATTTAGCAACAAAATGTGTCATTTTTTATTTTTAGAGAACAAAGACTCTTCAAAACAGATAATAAACTGATAACCTGTACCCATTCTTTAAAATTATATTGACTTTCTTTCCAGTTACATACCAGTATCCCCTCTGTTGTGCCTTCAATTTCACAGAGTAGGGCTGTCAAACTTGTAGCCCACGGGCTGGATGCATCATGCGCTGGCCATGCCCCCACCCGGTTTACCAAAGGGGAAAAAAGATCTGATATGTCATGTGACGCCATCATGATGACATGAGTTTGACACCCCTGTCATAGAGCCGAAGTTTTTCATAAAATGACTAATGCTATATCTTACAAATATAACTCAACATCACACTGAGCTCCTTAACTATTTGTTCCCAAGATTACATTAACATACATGTTAATTTCATTTTGAGTGTTGAATTATATTTGTAAAATATAGAATTAGTCAAAAGCTATAATACAACAAGACAAAATAATGTGAGTTAAAGAATGTTCAAATTTCTTACACAGCCAACCTAAGAAGTCTTAATGTCCATCCTTTATTAAAGATTCTTTGATACCTCCAACAGACCTGTCATAATATTTTATGATTAATTAGTTTCATCTTTAAATAGTAAGAAGTGTATTTCCCATTTTTTAATACTTGGACCCATTGACTTTCCAAAACTGGATATTCTAATTTTTCCTTCCATAGACCCAATATATAAATAATGCAAATTTTCCCTTCATTTTTTTACTACCTTATGAAAATGAATTATTGGTAAACATTTGACTGCAGCCTCTCTTAATGAAGCTAAAATAGAAAGTATCTTGGAGGCTGGTAAAGTATTCAGGCCATGCTTTTAGTTAGTATATGTTTTACTTGAGAATATTGCCAAGAATATATTGAAGACAAGCCAAACTCAAAAGACAATCTCTCAAAAATTTTAAAACCGCCATTGAAAATCAATTCATTTAAAATATTAAGCCATCATTTAGCCCAGGTATTCAAATAGAACCTCATCCTCACTATTTTCAGATTTGAGGTCTATCACATTAACTTATCATGTGATTTGAGATCAAATCACAACTGCTTACCTATTAATAACCAAATATGCTTAGCAGCTTTCAAAGCTGGAAATGATCCTGATTTAATGTATCTTGATCCTAATACCTGGCAAGATTTCAGGGATATTACCACATTTGCTTTCCAAATTGGCTCAGAATGGGAAGTGAACTTAATACAGTCAATCTTTATTCCAGAAAAACATAAATGGTAAGATAAAATTTGTTAGGTTAATGCCACCATCTTCATAAAGATAACTGCAAGTTTCCCAAATGTATTCTTGAGACTAAAAAAAGAAACCAATCATTTAACAACCAAATTAAAAATCAGGCTGAAGTCATCTGCAAGGCTTCCTCTCATTGGTCACAAAGAAAGTGGTCTGCAGGGATATTCAATTTATTTTGAATTAGTGCTCTGGACTAAAATAAAACCGCAAAGATAGTATTAAACACTGAACTGAAGGTTGGGAATGAATATTGGGGAATAGGATTATTCCTCATCAGTCTCATTTGCCAACACATTTTTCATTGCATTCATCACCAAACCTTATTCAGCTCAGTAACAAGCAGTTGCCTTTACAGAGAGGTTCAGAAAAGTCAGGATGGCAGTTATGGTTACACAATTGGAGCCCCACACCTTTTTGCACACATGTCAATGTTGCATGCATGTGCAAAAGGATAATACTTCAGTCACATGCCATGATCACTATTTTGAGTTTTTCCACACACACACTCCAGATATTTCTTTTATTAAGGGCAGGGGGTATATTCTTATATTCTTAGTTGTCTCAAGGGTACTTTTTTCTTCAAAAGGCAACTGGACTGTTTTTTTCCTCGAGGAAGAAGAAAAAAACATTTTGCTTTCATTCAAGAAGATTCATCAGTTCTGATGGCGGAGAGGGTGGGATGGAAAAAAATAGGTATTGACAGTTGAGATAAATACTAGTTAGAGCTGCAGTATGGAATAAATTAAAGAAAACTGTTAGTGGGGCCTCTGGCTTTGTTTCCCCTCTCACTAGGTGTCATCAACAGATTGGGCAAAACAATCAGAAATTACTCTTCTTAGCATGGACTGGCTGGGGAGAAGGTACATTTTGACAGTAGTGATGTAATTATTTCAGAAAACCTGTTTTGGTGTTCCACAAGTGTATGGAAAGGGAAACTGATTATGTGTAAGCAGTAATCAAAATGCATCAATCAACTTCAATTTGGGTGTAGTAGTTTAGCAAGATCAAATGCAGGCAATGGGGATGAAAAGACTTTTGCAAAGTCTTTCAGCTGGTTGAAATTTAGTTTGGACCAAATGATTATCTATTGAGAACGTATGTGCTAATAATAACTGTGGGTAGATGTTTGCAAGCAAGATAAAGTATGTCTGGGAGCGACCATAAATCCAATGGCACTTGGATTGAAATTTATCATCCTGCTAAGCGCTGGAATTCTTTCCTTCTGGATCAGGGCTGTCAAACTCATAGCTGGATGCATCACGCATTGCCCATGCCTATGCCCGGTTAAGCAAAGAGGGGGAAAGTCCCTATATATCACGTGAAGATGCAAGTTTGACACCCCTATTCTGGATGATCTGAAGGGTATGAAAACTGCAAGTAAGAGGCAACCCTCTTCTTTGAGTCAACATGCTAATTCAATTCCATCAGAAAGACAGAACGAAACAATTCCCAGAATCCCTCCACAGCATCTTCAAACTCCCAAGACATCTGGGACATACAGCTACACCCAACCAAACCTTTCCCTCCCCACCCACATTCCTATGCTGAATGGTGGCTATCAGCTGTCACCTAGGGAGACAAACAAAACCAGAGGTGGCATTCAGCAGCTTCTGACCAGCTCTGGAGAACCGATAGTGGAAATTTTGAGTAGTTCAGAATATCACCTCTGACTGGCCCCGCCCCCATCTATTCTCTGCCTCCCAAGTCCCAGCTGATCGGCTGGGTCTTCTTTGGTTGCCCTGCACAGGAGAACAGAGCTGGAAAGCAGGTTAGTAGGGTGGGGAGGGAATGGGGATTTTGCAGTAACTTTCCCTTGGAGTGGGGTGGGAATGGAGATTTGACAGTATCCTACCCCTGCCACGCCCACCAAACCACGCCCACAGAACTGGTAGTAAAAAATTTTGAATCCCATCACTGAACAAAACCAGAGTAATTAATCATGGTTTTGAGTCATACCTAACATGACTCAGACATAGACTTGGACATAGAGACACGCACATACACAAACGAGGACACTACAATTTGTTGCCAATAAAGAGCAAAGGTAATAAAAAGGGAAGATGGGGATCGTAAGTAGGGATAGCAAATTTTGTGTCCATATAGTTTTCTGCTGACTCAGGAAGTAGCATTTTAACTCAGCAATGGGAAAAGATCTGCACTAAAAGGTGATTGGTTCAGTGTTGGCTTAGCATGTTGTATAAATCCAGCTCATGGGTCCCAGTAGGTGAGAAAAACAATGGCGTTTCAGGCCCTCAAATCAGGGCAATATCCAAGTATGGGGTCAAAAACCAAGTAGAAATCACGAAGGTCATTGCAAACAGGAGAATACCTGCTGGGGGAAAGGGTTTAGGAGAGATGTGGTTTCTGTATTCTCAGGAATTGTGGGGAAATAAATATTCTGACCCACAATTGACACAGAGCTGTGCAGAGACACAAACAGGGCAACCTCTGAGGAAGACATCTAGCTCCTGCTGCTATGAGAGTGAGGAAAAAGAGAAGGGGGTAATGCTGTTGTAAAAGAAATGTATGCTGTCTATTTAGGCTGTTGAACAATTTCTTAAAATACATTTTCTATTGGAAGATTGGTGCACTCTGAATGGATGCATTTATTAGAACAAATCGTATTACTTTACTAGTATAAACTTTGACTCTTGACAAAAACAATCTTTCCTGGAAGTGGTAGCAATTTTCATCTACCACTCCAGCCATTTCCCATCCTTTGGAGGAATATTAACATGCTTGCTAAGGCTTTGCCATCCTGTCGGATTACAGCAAAAG